CATCCCCAAAAACATTTAACTTCTATAAGATAAAACTTAATTTTTCACAATTGTTAAATGTATTGAGTGTATTTATATCTGAGTTTAGACAAAGTTTTTGTTAAAGAATCTGAATTACTTTTATAAGTATATAACTCATCAATAAAATAGTAACAAATAAATTTCATTATATTTTATTTATCTCAGTGATTTTATATAAATGGGTTTGGGCAATAGCCCTTTAAATTGACACTTTAGTTAACATGTTTATATGAGAATATTCTTCATTCTGTAGAAAGAAGCAGGTAGTTCCAACTTACTGTTCTGTAGGATTGAATTTTATATGTCTAGGATTAGCTTGTCATAATGTAGTGGCTTCTGTGTTGCTGTGATGCTGGAAGCTACGCTACCAAATTTCAAATACCAGTAGGGTCACACATGGTAGACAGGTTTCAGCAGAACTTCTCGACTAAGACAGATGAGGAAAAAAAGGCCTAATGATCTACTTCTGAAAATTAACCAATGGAAACCTTATGGATCAAAACAGAACATTGTATACCTCACTTGCTTTGAACATGTTATATCAGGAGGGATCATTCACTGGAGGGGAGGATATTGTGGTTAGTGAAGTAGAAGGGAGACCCTCAGTGAGATGGAGTGCCACGATAACCACAGTGATGGACTCAGACATGCCAGCAGTTGTGAGGATGACACAGGACTAGGCAGTGTTTCATTTTGTTGCCCTGAGTCAGAGTCAACTTGGTGGCATTTGCCTGTCTATCTCAATTTTTTAACTGCCTTTTGTCCTAGTCTTCATTGGAATCAGTTAATATATGCATGGTTCTTTCTTAAAGATTAGGCCTTCTTTCCCCATTGAAAACTTGAGTTTTCTTCGATTTAAGATCTATAAAGTTTCATTATTTTTTATTTATCTCAGTGATTTCATATAAATGAGTAAGAAAATCATCCAAATAAGCCAATCCATTTACATTTTATGTTGCAAAGGTTTTAAAAGCTACAGATAAAAATACAACGTTGCATCTGTCCTTTCATCCTGTCGTATGAAAATTGTGGGTATGTTGTATGTGTTCATGTATGTGTGTATAAAATAACTGGAAAGGTATATGGAAAAATAAAAACAATTTGTTAAAGTCCTAGATCTGTGATTTTTTATTTCCTTGAAATTTTAAAAAATAGTTTTCCAATAAATGAAAATGAAATGAAAAAAGAAATTTTAAACTCAGGTATGTAACATGCATTAATTTGAAAAAATTACTTTAAATTTTAGGGTGGTTGTTGTGTGCCGTCAAGTTGGACCCAACTCCTCCTTGGGTTTTCAAGTTGATAATCATGATGGAAATAGATTGCCCAACCTTCCTTCCACAGAATGGCTGGTGGGTTTGAACCACTAGCCTTCTGGTTAGCAATCAAGTACCTTAGGCACTATGCTACCAGAGCTCCAATTCTATTCAGATATAAAAAGAACATTTAATCATAGTCTGAAGTTTTGTGCTAGGTATTTAATCTGTTCAAACAAAAGTATTAAATATTTGAACATTGGAGAGTTAAAAATATTTGTTCTTAAGATATTTAATAGTTTTAAGGGATTATTTGTTTGGTTTAAGGAGCTCTGGTGGCGTAGTACCTAAGGCATTGGACTGCTAACCAGAAGGTTGGTGGTTCAAACCCACCAGCCACTCCGCAGAAGGAAGACTGGGGCAGTCTACTTCTGTAAAGATTTAATGCCTCATATACCCAAAGGGGGGTTACTATGAGTTGGAATTGACTTGATGGCATTGAGTTTGGTTGGGTTTTTTTTTTTTTTTTTCGGTTTATTTGGTTTGGTTATTTGCAGTGTGTTAGAAATAAGAAGAAGCAAACTCCATCTACAAGCTTATAGTTTAGTATTTCCTATCCATTCTTTCTTACTCTCTCACTTATCACTAGTGTATTTTGCATATTTTCTGGTAGATTAATTCCAGGTGACTTTGGTCAATATGATAAGCACTTGTGATATTGTTTACATAGCTTTGCATGCCTTTTATAAGTGGGAGAAATCCTATCACACTTAAACTTCTTTAGAAGTCTTTCTGAAAAAGTCTAATTTTCCCCACTACCATGAAAAAGAGAGGTCAACTTTCTATTGTTAGTGGTAACCTAAATAGTTAGTGGTAGCATCAGATTGGGAAGAATTTGAATATTTTAAGGGAATATGTACTTTTAAATCAATATGCTAATTCACAAGAATCATGAGTTTTTTCCTTTGAGTTGCACATTACTGTTTGTGTTTCTGAGTGGAAATGAAACATATCGTATTCTATATCAAGCTATTTTTTTCTTTCAAAAGAAAAAAACTTGTTTGTGAAGTTATGATTATATCTGTTCATAAGCTCTAGTATTTTATATGTGATACTTCATATTAATTGTAGTACAAATCTTCTTTGGAAGTAACCAGCCAAAACCAAACTCACTGCCCTCGAGTCGGATCTGACTCATCGCAACCCCATTGGGTTTCCAAGGTGATATCCCTACGGAAGTAGGTTGCCCCATCTTCCTTCCAAGGAGTGGCTGGTGGGTTTGAACTGCCAGCCTTCTGGTTAGCAGTCAAACTCCTTAGACACTATGCCACCAGAGCTCCCTCTTTGGAAGTAAAGCAAACAAAATTTATCTTTATGACCCACGAACTTCAGCTTTTTCTCAAGGACACTCACTGTACCCTGTTTGTTTGTTTAATAGTCTTTTATCTTAAAGAGAGAAGTAAGAGAAATAAGAGCAATGATTTTCACAGCTCTGGATATTTGTTTTAACTTTCATAATAACCATTGATTGAAAGCTTATCATATGCCATATACTCACATTATTTGCTGCCCTCACAAAGCCATTTGAAGTAGGTAGTCTGTCTCACCAAGGAAATAAGGAATATCATCATTCTTGTGATGTTAAGTGATTATCTCTAGAAGAAGCTTCCTTTCAATTAATGGATTTCTAGATAAAGAAACTCAATGAAGGTTAACTAACAGGACAGAGATAACCAGAACTAAAAAGAGATTTTGAGAAAACTGACACATAAAAAATACGGATTTTATGGATTATATAAAAACAAAAGCAGCTTCACCAGTGACATAAATGATAGTACCAAAAGGAACTCATGGAATCCAAGTATACTAAAACTTAGTATGTTGTTTATTACTTTTGTCCAATAATTTTTCTTAGATATAATTAGAAGAGGGAGCTCTGGTAGCATAGTGGCTAAGGCACTTGACTGCTCACCAGATGGCTGGCGGTTCAAACCCATCAGCCACTCCTCGGAAGGAAGGTTAGGCAATCCTACTTCCGTAGTGATACTGCCTCGGAAACCCAAGGAGGGGTTGCTATGAGTCAGGGCTGACTCCAC